TTGTTGACAAACAACTTAACTCAGGTTGGAATATCCAACGACGTGGACATAGTTGACTTTTTCGAAGACACCTGGACATGTCGTGAGTCCAACTAAACCATATGCCATGTGTTCATGCAACTCGTGCTGCTTGCTTCAGAGGAAAGTCTTTGTATGACCTTTGCTCCCCTTATTACAAATATGAATATTGGAGGGGTGCCTATAGCGAAGCTATATATCCTGTTGGACGTGACGTAGACTTGGTTGTTCCCAATTTACTTACATTTACTCTTATTTTGCCACCATTCGTACGTCGCCCTCCAGGTAGACCACCGACCTAACATAAGCGTTCAAGACATGAGTCTGCATGGTCGAGCAGGAAATGCACTCGTTGTGGTTGTCTTGGTCATAATCGGAGCACATGTTCAAACCTCAATATATCACAAGATCCTTAAACATTTTTAGTGTAATCGAAGTTGTATGTTCAATGTTCCGTAGTGCATTGTACCTTATGAAGTTATGTTATAAAGATTATGATAATTACCGTTTCTGGATGTTCGGTATCCTTCTATGCACATACGAATTTCATTCCCGACTGTTCTGTTCAGCACGTACGCAACATCCCAACATGTGAAATGTCTGTCCCGGTAGATGTGTTCTGGATTCCTGACAGTTGATCAAAGTGTGCACAACACTCAATATCAGTTTCACGTATATGGTGAACTCTAGATTCTGTGAAAGGGAAACAACGTAATTGTAACATGCTTGAAACAATGTCTTTAAACACGTACAGCTAATCCTCCAAGTGTACGGTCATTCAAAGTATTTTACGGTAGCAGGCAAAATGAATTGTAAATTGGGACGTTGTCTTTTTGTTGTTGGACTGCGCGCATCATGAACCCCATTTAAAAAATTTATGTTCAATACCCATGAAATTTATTATAATTTGTAACATCGTCATCCGTGGAGAGAATTCAGCTCCTAATAAACAGCATTTCATAATATCTACTAAACGGGTGCAAAATATAGATGTAGGTTAATTTGTCGTTCCTGACAGATAGAAATTTGTAATTCTCTACAGTTCGGTCGGACTGGACTATACACAAAATATACTACCTGGATTACGGCTAAAGGACATGTTCATGTAGACATTTTGGTTTTGTGTTAACCAAATTCATCCCTACAAAAGAGTGGACTATACACTACTTATTCACTACACTCCACGACCGGCATTTCACTCGTCGTCGACAATCGAACTTTCTCCCCCGCTGTCTTCACCTGACTCGTCAGACAAGATGATAATTACCTCGTTTTGTGGGACGTACGCCAACTCATCATCGTCCTCGGACTCTCCCTTGTAGGCAGCATCGATCGCGAACACCGCATCAAGCACATCGTTCTGTGACAAACTATCGTCACTCCCAACATTTTCCAAGTTTGGGAAGGAAACAGGGGAAATGACTCTCCTATCCGTAGGAAGCTCAATTTCCTCATCGTCTGAGGAAATGTAGATTGGAAATAACGGAGAGGAATCGGGAACCGACAACGGCTCATCCACGTTGAACGGTTCGATACTTCCTGTGGACGAACTCATTATGCTGATGTAGTAAAGTATTGATGAAACGAAATGTGTCCTTGAGAGAGATAAATTCTCACAATGCTATTCCAGTAAGTTGTCTAGGAGTGAGAATGTAGTGACATTGTATTTATAAGCAAGTTGAAGAGGAAAAGCAATTATGGTCATCATCTACCCAACCACCAAGTCCAATCTTCTTATTAATTTGAAAAGCAATTGGTGTGATGGTTCAATAAATTTATAGTACTTTTATCCCCCATTTCCCCATAATTAGTAGGACCTTTAACACTCTTTATTATCTTTGTATAATTTAGTACATATACATTCCTGCACCTGAAATGCCTCTGTGCAAAGTATTCCCCGCAATTGTGGCATCGTTGTAATTGTAGTGCTTCAAAATAATGGGATTACATTATATTCACACACGTGGTATACCGAGTACAGTTCTTATCAAATATTTTGAAAAGTAGTTGGAAGTTTCTATAGATGCTTGATAACAATGCCAATTTAACAACGA